TGGGAGAAAGTCTATCTTAATGAATGGATGATCATGTGTGCTGCCTTCATCTCTGCCTATAGTCAATGTCAAACAAAACTGAGAGGATACCTGTGAGTATTCTCTGTAAACCAGAAAGCAAGAGGCTAAGGTCAGTTTGTATCCAGGGGAGCTTTTCCATTTTTTAGAGACAGATGGTCTCTTTTCTAAGCAGATAAACATTTTGCTAAAAATCCTGTCTACTCTGAACTAGTTTAGCAAATCCTTTTAAAATACTAGGTAAAAGATAAACATCAGCCCAATCCCCCAAATTATCACAAAGCCTAAAATTATGTACTTTAAGTAAATGAAACTTCATGGATACCCAAAGAATCATATTCCCTTCCCCACTCTTGAACAGGAAAAAGAATTGTCTTAGGGAGATCTGCAAGCATGTGGGAGCCCTGGTGTGGCACTGTGGGTTAATGCGCTGGATTACAAAGTCAGTTTGAACCACAAAGGTCTGTGGTTCAAGCTCACCAGCTGTTCCTCTGAAACTCTCTATAAAGGGTCACTATGGGTCAGAACCAACTTGATGGCACTTAACAACACAATGTAAGTGCAGAGCAGCAACATCAACACAAATTGGAAATGTACTTTCCAACCATGTTTAGGACATTTCCACTCTTCAGGTGGGACTTGAACATAGAAACAGGTTTAGTAAATCTGTGGAAAAAACAAGATTAGAGATTGCTGTTGTTGACGTGCCATTGAGTTGGTTCCGACTCATAGAGATCCTGTATAGGGTTTCTGAGGAGCAGCTGTGGTTTTGAACTGCCGACCGTTTGGTTCACAGTCCAGTGATGATCCTACAGCGCTATTCTTGGGATTCGTAACTTTCTTTATTTCAGTAAGAGAGGGATGCCCTGGGAGCACTTCTTCCCTCTGGGTTCCCTCTGCAATTCTCCAATGCATAGTGTATACCCCCTTGCAGCCTCATTGTTTTTTTTCCCTGTCAATTTGCTGCAATGTAGGGAGCCTGGGAAGGAGCTCTGGTAGCATAGTGGTTACGAATCATGCTGCGAACCTCAAGGCCAGCAGTTTGAAACTACCAGCTGTTCCATGGGAGAAAGATGAGGCTTTCTGCTCCTGTAAAGATTTACAGCCTTGGAATCCCTGTACAGAGTCTCTATGAGTCAGAACCAACTCCGTGGCACATCACAACAACAAGGAGCCCTGGTGGTGTGTTGGGTTAAATGTTGGGCTGCAGGAGAAAGATGAAGCAGTGTGCTTCTGTAAAGATTTACAGAGCATTTCTACTCTGCCCAAAAGGGTTGCTGTGAGTCAGAATCCATTTGGCAGCAATAGATTTTGTTTTGTTTTCTTTTGTTTTGAGTGAACTTTCAAATATATATGAGGTGATTGAAAATACCATGACTTGGGTCAGGTGCACCTTAGTCTGCAAAATGACATCTTTGCTTTCTAACACTTTAAAGAGGTCTTTGAACCTGGTCCCATCATCACTATGGTTCCTGCAAAGAAGGGTGGTGAGAAGAAGAAGGGTTGTTCTGCTATCAACAAAGTAGTGACCAGAGAGGACACCATCAACATTCAACAACAGCCAAGTGATGACTAGAGAGAACACCATCAACATTCAACAACAGCCAAGTGATGACTAGAGAGGACACCGTCAACATTCAACAACAGCAAAGTGGTGACCAGAGAGGACACTGTCAACATTCAACAACAGCGAAGTTATGACCAAAGAGGACACTGTCAACATTCACAAGCGCATCCATGGAGTAGGCTTCAAGAAGTGTGCCCCTCGAGCACTCAAGGAGATTCCGAAATTTGTCATGAAGGAGATGGGAACACCAGACGTGCACATTGGTACCAGGCTCAACAAAGCTGTCTGGGCCAAAACAATCAGGAACGTCCCATACCATATCCGGATGCGGTTGTCCAGAAAATGTAATGAGGATGAAGAGTCACCAAACAAGCTCTGTACACTGGTGACCTATGTGCCAGTCACCACTTTCAAAAACCTACAGACAGTCAGTGTAGATGAAAACTAACAGTTCATGATCAAATAAATTTATAAATCTGCCTTCATGGGGATAAAAAAAAAAAAGGTCTTTTGCAGCAGATTTACCCAAATGCAATGCATCGTTAGATTTCTTGACTGCTGCTTCCATGGATGGTGGTTGTAGATCCAAGTGAAATGAAATTCTCCACAATTTCAATATTGTCTCCATTAACCATGATGTTGCTTATTGGTCCAGCTGTGCAGTCCGTATCTTCATCAGTGATTAAATGTCAGCAAACAAGATTGTGTCGTTTACATATCGCAGGTTGGTAGTAAGTCTTCCTCCGATCCGGATGCCGTGTTCTTCTTCACATAGTGCAGCTACTGGAATTATTGTCCAGCACACAGATTGAACAAGCATGGTGAAACAATACAACCCTGGCACACCCCTTTCTTGATTTTAAACACATGACTACTTCTTAGTCTACATGCAGGCTCCCCATAAGCACAATTAAGTGGTCTACAGTTCCCATTCTTCTCAATGCCATCAATTATTGATGTTATTAAATGCCATCAATAGTTTGTTATAATTTACAGAATTGAACGTCTTTGTTTAGCCAAGAAAACACAGAAAGACATCATTCTAGCATTCTCTGCCTTCACCCAAGATCCATCTGATATCAGCAATGATATCCCTTATTCCAAGTCCTCTTCTAAATTCATCTTATTTCTGGCAGTTCCCTGCTGAAACATTTTTTAATTACTCTACACAAAATTTTACTTGTACATGATATTAATGGCATTTCCAATACTATCTGCGTTCTGTTGGATTGCCTTTCTTTGGAATGGGCACAGATATGGATCTCTTCCAGCTGGTTGGCCAGTTATTTAAATTCCTTGGCATAGAGGAGTGAGTACTTCCAAGGTTGCATCTGATTGCTGAAACATCTCAGTTGGTAGTCTGTCAATTCTTGGAGTCTTGTTTTCCAGCAATGCCTTCAATATAGCTAAGTCTTCTTGCTCCAGTACCTTTCAATCATCTCAGATGCGCGTGAAAGCTGGCCAATGAGTAAGGGAGACAGAAAAAGAACTAATACATTTGAATTATGTTGTTGGCAAAGAATATACCATTTCCTGCCAGAAGAATGAACAAATGTGTCTTGGAAGAAGTACAGTCAGAATGCTCCTTGGAAATGAGAATGGTAAAACTTTTCTGCACGTACTTTGGACACATAATCAGAGAGGAACTGTCCCTGGAGAAGGCTATTACGCTTGGTAAAGTGGAGGGTCAGTGAAAAAGAGGAAGACCCTCAACAAGATTGGCACAGTGGCTGCAGCAATGGGCTCTAACATAACAGTGTAGTGACGCTGGCAGACATGGGCAATGTTTTGTTCTTTTTCATATAAGATGGTCAGGAGTCAGAACAGACTCAAGGACACATAACAACAGCAGTGGTCAAATGGCTGGTGCAAAGTATTAATGTGCTCAGCTGTTAATGGAAAGTTTGGGGGCTCGAGTCCACTGTGAGCTGCCTGGGAAGAAATTCCCAGTGATGTACTTTTGAAAGCCCTGTGGAGTTCGGTTCTATTCTGATAGATACGGGATCACCATGAGTAGGAATCAACTCCATGACAACTAGTTTGTTTGCTTGTTTGTTATTGGGACAAAATGACTGTCTCATTCCGGCATTTAGCCCACAGGCTAGCACATAGTGATGATGATGGGGGTGTTGATGATGGTGATGGCAACTATCAAATATTAATCACTGTCTACCAGATGCTATTCTAAGGGCTGGTGTGGTGCTGTGGGTTAATGTGTCAGACTGCAAAGCTGTCTGAACTGCAAGGTCAGCTGTTCAAGCTCACCAGCTGCTCCTCAGAAACCCTATATAGGATTGCTATGAGTCGGAACCAACCAGACAACACTTAACAACAACAATCTAAGGGCATTACATTGTGAACTCAGTCGTTCCTCATAACATGCCTAGGGATGATGTTGAAAGCCCCATTGTATAAGCGAAATTGAGTAACATCCCAAGATTGCACAGCATAGCCGCACTGCTATTTTAACTGCATTGTTCTCTTCAGTTTTGATTTTTAATCACTACTTCTTACCACACTTTATTGCCACCCTGAAAATAGGGATAGAAGGATTTCAGCCAAGTTACTTTATTAAATTTTATTGGATATTTACTATTCAGTCAGTACCCCAGAAGGTAAGATCAAAGATTAGGAGAGAAGGATTGAAAACAAAGACAGAAAACAAATTAGTAGAATGAAGAAATAGATACTTATTAGTCAAAAGATAATAATTAACAAGAGAGAAAGGGG